AAAAAAATGTCAAAAATAATTAGTTAATAATTTATATAGTATTTAAATTTTAGATTCGGAGCGTAGCGTAGCGTATGTGTGTTTTTTTTTTCTGTCTGTAAACAATTTGTCAAAAACAAATCTTGCTCCGATCTGTAACACCTTTTCTGAAAGGTAATTCTGTCAACTTAATATACCAGTACTACTTCCATCATCACATCCAACACACCGAAAATTTGGTTCGTACAGTGGCCCAGACGAAAAAGAAGATCCAATTCTTGCTGCTCATTGACTTTTAGACGTATCGATTACTACAGTAATACTAATTAACTGACTATGTAGGGCGGACAATTTTGTATATATTCATCAGTCGATGAGCTGGTTTATACCTATATGTCGTGTTACAAGATCTAACGGCTGATTTTATATTATAATAAACAGCATTTTATTTTGGATATTTTTCGATTTTTGTGCGTATTTGTATTCTGCATAAATACGTATTTAAAGTCGTTTTCGGCATATGCAATATACAAATATACAACATATTACATAACTACACTATAGACTTTAATAAGTAATAACTATATTGTACTTAATAACTGATAAATAATATTATGTTGGTATAACCGACTCTAAAATCGGGGAAGTAATAATTTATTTATTCTTTGAACAGATTGAAAAAAATAATATGCGTTAATTTGACATTCACAAAATATACGTCACGCGCCCAGTATCTAAGGGATTCCGAGTAGACAATTTATATTTATAATATTTTTTTTACAACTCAATTGGAAATAATCAGAGAAACCTGATATTTTAACAAATATTCTTTAAAGCCACATCGAATTTTCGAGTTTTAGATTTTGAGTGAAGTGTATAGGTTTTACTTTGATGCGTGTTTCTTTTTTTTTTTTATCTGAAAACAACATTTCTACCTGAAAATTTGCACCAACCTAAAAATGCCTTTTTTCGTTGCAGTTTGGATCTATTTGGTGCATTTAGGAAGTTATTTTTTAATTTCCCAATGGGTTTTAATAATAATTCGAAAAAACCAGGAAAAAATGTTCTAATTAATATTAATTAATGCATTCAACTAATTTTCTTATTAATTGAGAAAGACGAAACAAAAACGGAATTTATAAAAACAACGGTTTCATTAATTTCAATTTTGGTATTTTGTTGTTAATAAGTTAAAAATACTCATAAAGACCTGAAGCTAGACGTGTTTAAATTTTTAAAATCGAGTTTTTAGGTATATAGGTATTTAACACTTTAGAGGGTTTTTAGGTAGTTTTTATTTGGTAGATATTAACGGGTGACATTTTTTGACCAAATAGAAATACTTGAAAATTCAAGACAAGTTGTACAATGGGGTAAAAAAAAATTAAAGGTAATGTTGAAGTTTTTTTGATAAGCGTTGACTAATGTTAACAAATATCGTAAAAATTACAGTATAGATCAAAACATGTATAATCTAAATTCGCTCAGAATCGTTTTTTGTTAACATCGGTTTATCATTGTATACTGATTAAAATTAAATAACTTTTTTTTATTTTATCTTCCCAACTTCCCATCCACAATAGTGGCACACCCGTCTCCAGTATCAGCTCTTTTTAGTTTTATTTGGTGTTTTTGGTATTTTTATCTATAGATAAAAATTATTGCCTACTCAAAAATTCTTGAAAATATTTTACAAGATTCATCATAAGTTATTCTTATGGCACTATAAACATATTGAAAACCCGTAATCACGATTTTTATTTTATTTTGTGAATATTTAAAATTGAATTTTGACAAAAATTGTAAAACATTTTTGGCTCTATAAAAATGCTTAAGAATGTGAAATATATACACACACAATTGTTATTTATTTAGTTTGTCAAAATATAATAAACTGAACTTCGCTCAGAATCGTTTTTTTGATAGCGACGATTTACTAATGCATAAAAATTAAAATACCATATATATCCTATTTTCCTCTTTCCCAACTTCTTACCAACAACTAACTATTCGCTTCTTCTCCCTCACCTGTCTCAATCCTTGTTGGAGTCAATTACCTTTGTCCTATATCTCTTCACGCGATATTGCTACATCATCTGTATACACCCCCGAAGCAGTCTAAACTCTCAATCATGTTTAACCATCTCTTTTTTGCTCTTCCTCTTCCCCTCTCCTTTGAACAACTGTCACTTGTTTAATATTTAATATTTCTCTTAGATTTAAAAACGTTTTCAAAAGTCTTTTCGTTTGTTTAACGCGAATATGGTTTACCACAGACAATCTTCGGTACCAAGTCACATAGATTTTATCAGATCAAAGGAATTATTATTAGTTTCACTATACAAATACATTTTTTTCGAGAACACTTAAGCTGAGACACGCGCTAAACACGCATGTTATTTGATAACTATTTACACGTAGGTATTACATTTGAATATTCAACATTGTTTATCAGTTTAATGCATAACGAATTATGAATAATTGAAAACGTTACACTCGCGAGAGAAATCATATGAAAATGTTTCAACAAATATTTTTTGAGCTCTATTAGAATATTATAGTATTGTTCGAATTTAAAATACACTGGAACCTTAGACGTATTTTCCAATGTTGGATTTTAGTTATTGATGTAATATGTATAGATTTTCAATATGCAAGTTAGATTCAAGATGGGAGATCAAGTCAAGTAGAAATTCAGAACGATGGTGGCCGACTCCAAATAATTAGGATAAAGGTGAAGGAGAAAAAAATGTATAGATTAGTTAACAAATTAGCCAAGTTATTATCAGGAATTCGATTTATTAATTTAAAACTTGGTATGTTGAAAATAAATACAATACAGTGTATCGTTACTTCATAGAATTTTCAAAAATAACATATCGACTTTTGAACTCTTCAAAACTGAAAATCAATTGTCTAGATAACCGAGACAATTCGACAAAAAAAATATACACTACACACTTTAAAATTTTTAATCGGACATTGAACATAATATGTCGTACATCGGACATATAATGTCTTGTGTGCCTCTGCTGTCGGTCTTTTACTCATGAAAAATATAGAATAATTATAGATGCATTGATATTAACGTCCGTAACGTTTTAATTTCACGGTAAATGTCTTATATTATGTTAATTAATATTAATTTATCGGTCATGTACATAATTGTAGTTCGTCTACACCTTTGAATGTTTTCCTCCTATGCATCGTCATCTCCAGCGTATTCCAATAAATACTTTATGCATCCACGCGTTAAAATTGAAATTGTAATTTTTCAAGTTCGACGTGAAATGTGAAAACATTATTAATTTTTTTTTTTTTTTATCATTCTTGCAAGTTTACGTACAATTTCGTCCCGCGTCTCCGTCGCGATGCTATCGTCCAACGTTATTACATATATTTATATATATAGCTATACATATATCATTATTATTACTTCTGTTTGAGAATTGATACATCAACTATAATACGCCCTCAACGTTGACTACATAATACTCGCTGTCCCTCTCGAACATTTTCGTCCGCATGTTCGCTATACGAAACTTTCTTATGGCATCTTTTATCTCGCCGTACCGCCATATGCGTTTATATATAATATACGTGACCTATATACGTCCAGTCCTTATATATTTTACAGTATTGATCTCGTATAGTTTTTATCCCCATCATCATCGCCGACAGCCTAAGTCTTTGCGATGATATGTTTAATTATTATTATTTTTTTTTTTTTTTTTACTCCTTAATTAGTTATTACTGTTATTCATTAGGCATAACTAAACATTATATTGAACGAAACATTATTATTGCGTGCGAATTTTATCGGTTTACGCTACTAGACAACTACACGAACGGTGATAAGGCGTTATAACAACGATCATTTACCGGCAATACGGACATTTCAACGTTTAAAATTTACAATAATATCAACGCCTGCAGTGTGTTGTTCGGTTCGTATTTTATAATTTTTTAAATTTAAAGATTAAAACACTAACGAAAGGAGCTCATAACCTACAGTTGGAAAAACAAACACGATGGCTATACAGCGTCTTGCGAAGACCAGCGAGGAAACCGCGCGGTAACAATCGCTAAAATATATTTAAAATTGTAATAGATTTTAAGGTCGCGGGGTGAGGGTGGGAGCGGGTGGGGCGAGGAGGCCGCGTAAAACTCGATTTTCGAGACTTATGGGATGCAATTAATCAGGCGCCGAAAGCGGGGCACGGAGCCCCCCCTGGGGATACCACAAGGCGCATACCTAATATTGACTCGCCTGCCGCCGCCTTCCCACCGTTCGCTTCTGTACACCGCGCCGCCGAAAGGGTACCAGAGAAAAGGAGAACGAGCGCACAAGAAAAACTCTGATTAGTCGGCAAACCCCTCGAGAACCATAACCCCCTCGCATAAAAGGTAAGTTTCTCTACTCGCCGCGCGACCTCCCGACGGTTTTTTTCCCTCTTTTTCTTCTTATCTCTTCGCGCTGTAATTGAAACGGTATCTCTGTCTCACTCACTCTCGCTATACCGCTCTCTCTCTCTATCTCTCTCTCTCAACATTTATATATTATATACATCATTCCGAGACACCGGACTATCTCTCTCTCTATATATATATATATATATGTATATATATGCTCATATATATATATAGGTACACACACACACACACACATTTTTTTCCTACCATAATAAACGATATAGAAAAAATATTATGAAAATCGTTTAGATGGGGTTTTAATGGATATATTTTTTTTATTATTATTTTACTTTTTAGCCAACCATTATATAGGTATAATATAAATATATTATTATTAAATATACCCGTAATGAAAAAAAAAAAACCGGGAGAGAGCGAGAGATACACCGGGGTCGGACGGTGGGCGAAGAATATACTCGTATGTGGATATATGTGTGGTATAAAACGAAAAAGAGATACATATAAAATAATACGTATGTATATAGTGAGATAAGGGGAAAATAAAGAGAGACGGCGCGAGTGCCGCAGTGCGAAGCCGGGAGGATGAACTATGCGTACGTACAGCCCGCGGCGGCGGCGGCGGGTATAGAAGTGGGAACGACACAGTCGTCGCGCTTCTGCGGCGAAAGAGCGAGAAGGACGACGACAGAGCACGGGGACAGAGAGAACTGCCGCCACAAACCGTTCCCATTGGCATAATGAAACACGTATGAACCGCGCGTGGAAATGCCGGCGTGAAAAGCGGCCAATTTAGTTGAAACGCAACCTCGTTGTCCCAAGTTTGCGGCGGCGGTGACGGCCCGCAGGAGTGGAAATTGCAAAAGGGGTTTCCCGCACCTCGTTTCTTCGTTACGGCTGGCCCCCAGGGACACCGAAAATCCCCCTAGCACCTGCGGGAGCGACTCGAAAACCCTGGGATTTTATTCACACATATATATATATATATATATATATATATATTTATAGCTGCTGTTACGTATATAATATATATACGTATACGTTTACGTATATAAAAGAGAAAACGACATATAGTGTATACACTCTGTATAATATATAGGTATATTCCATGTATATATGTACGTATATATATATATTGTATTCTGTACATACGATTATATGGGAAGGAGGTAAAAAAAATTCGATGTTTTTATGATTTCTATTAAGTTTCTTATTATCATTTTATTTTATTTTTTCGTTTTTGCTCACCTCTAGGAGATAACGACGGCATGAGGTCTTCGTCGTCGAATACGTCTTCTGCGTCAGGATTTCCGTCTGAAAAACATATACAAACAATATTATACTTTATAATAATACATCACTACTACTGCAGCAGGTATACAGTTGTACAGTTCACATGCCGTACGATAATTTCGACAAAACAAAATACGTAAAAAATATTTTGGACGTTATTTATCGATTTCAGATTCTAACCATCGAATCCGTAGTTGAAAAAACGGGATTTTTTTTGTTTTCTTGGAAAACACTTTTTCGGTCAGTAATGAAACGCTCGGAATTGTTCACGTCAAACTTTAAATGATGCGGATTTTCCGTGTCTTGTGATGATACTTTATTCGAAACATATTTCAAAATTTCCAATACTTTTTTTTCCCGAAAAAATGGTTTTATTTTTAATTTTTTTTTTTTTTTGCAAGCGATTTTTGATGAGTGCTGTGCTATGTTTTTTTTTCACGTTGGTAACATCTTAAGATGGATTGAAAAATGCCCGGAGGTACTTGAAATAATTTTGTTTTAAAATCCATTACCCAAAATCCAGGTATTTTTTCTCGGAAAAATTATTTTTCAATTAGTAAAAATATGCTCTAAATTATTCGCAAGGGTTTTTACTAGATAGCACTTTATTTTAAAAACATTTCTAGATTCGCAATAATATTTTATATAACAAAATTAAAAATTGACAAAAAATGACGATACATTGATTTTACTTTTGTTGATTTCTGAGTAGCTGGTTACAAAGAGAAAAAAACATATGGCTATAATACTATATAACCTTATAAGTGCACTAAGATCCATTCAGAATCGCTTGTTTTTTAGGTCAATGATTTATTGTTGCTTACGGCAAAATAAATTACCCTATATCATATTATCCCTATTTCCCACCTACAACAGTAACCTATCAACGATAGCAACAGAAAAGTATCAGGCATTTTGTAATATTATAGAATAATTGACATTAAAAAAAGTTACCAACATGTATCATTATAGATTACTCAAATTATTACTTTATCAAATATGTCACCATTGTTACCTATAATTTATTATACCCCTGTACGAGTTAAAAGTTTAGAGCTTCGATAAATTTGAAAGTGAAATTTAATCAACTAAATTATATAACATTACAAATTAATTACCTACTTTATTGGCTATATAGGAAGTACCTACTCGTATTTAATTTTAGATTTATAAATTACGCAGGCAAAATGATTATCTATAATTACTTTTTTAATGATATGTATTATAATTTTAAAAAAAGGACATACTTCGCATGTGGGTGCAGCCTCTGTTGTAGGGGGATGTTGGGAAGGTAGAATACAGACAGGAATTTAATGTATATCTGTAAGTAACCATAAAACATTTCTAACGAAAAAACAAAATACTGAATGGAGTTCAGTTAATAGTGTTGCTTTGTCAACAATATATGTCATTTTATGGTATATAATCATATGATTTAAACATTTTCTTTGATAATATTTTTTTCATATCGCACCTATTTTTCGGTTGGTCCGTTTTTTTTTCAGTTTTTCCAATAGGTATATTAAGAAAACTTCAGAGAAAACCAAAAAATTACCTCCCCAAAATACTTCCCAGGTCCGATTTCTTTTCAGAAAAAATATTATCATTGTAAATCGGAGCAAAATTTCTGATAGAAAAGTCGCGCACTAATAAAAAAAATAACATCTTTGTAAAACAATAGGCTCCTTCACTCCACTCAGAATTAAAAATTAGAATAATTTAACGAATTTGTTGTGTCTTATTTGCTTATTTGTATTTATTTATGATAGATAATTATTTTAAGACATTCAAAATTCCAAAATAAATTAGTTAGAATAGTTTAGTAAAAATAAAAATTGCTTAATTTTGTTAAGCACGGTTTTGCTTAGGTCATGGATATTTTTTGAGTGTATGGAAGACAGCAATCGTGTTTTCACAAAATATGCTTTTATGCTTCATTCCTAAATAGAAAGCATAATTTTTTTTTTTTTTTTAGTTAATTGTTCGGTTTTAAATTTTTTTCAATAAAAACAACTTTCAAAGCGTAGGTGCTATGTTTTTTTTTTCATTAGATATATCAAATTTTATTTTTTTTTTTTTATTTTACAATAGCCTTCCACTTCACCATTCCAATGAAGGGAATCTTCATTACGGGATTTTCAAATATGGGATATTGAAGGTGTTTTCAAGAGGGTGATAATTTTTTTTAAAAATTCAAGAAACAAATGGTATATACAAATACCCTTTTTTTCATATACGTTTCCTTGGGAAATTGTATTATTCACTTGTATACACTTAAATTATGTTGAATTTCAGTAACAAAGCAAATCCATTCCCTTATAATAGCATAATATACTTTTAATATCGAGTAGCTTACGTACAAGTGGGTCTCAATTTAAGAAATATACACTGCACAATGATGAATACACAGGCAAACGAGCCTTTTACATACATGTCCTGTTCTTATTATTCTTATTAATAATTTGCATGGTTCAACCAATCTCCCCCCCCCATAAAATTAACTAAGTATACTTTGTATTTATTTGATGTGAATTTGATTTTGGAGGCTTGGCCAAATTTCAGATTGGTTAAACTACTGTCAAGCCCTTCCAAGTGTCCGCCAATGATGCTTGATGTTTAAAAACCCTTATATATCTTGTATTGTTTAATTCACGTAAATTATTCAAATACCTATAACTATAATATCGCTCCTTTCGAAAATCGTATATACATCAGATCACACAGATCAATAAAATAACACAACTCGAGAAAAAACAAATTTTCTTGAAAAGTATTAAATTTGTACAATGTCTGGCACTATATAAATCAATACGACCATCAAAGTAGTCGCTTTATAAATTTAAAACATCCTTACCACATTATAAGTTCAAATAGCGTTTTTAACACGAGACGGGTGCATAGTACGCACAATGTTTATGAGCGAAAAAAGTTAAAGGTTTGGTATACTTTGGCCAAGAAAATTAGTTTTAAAACTATATAGAAAATTAGGTCATTATATTTAGCTTTCTATATGAACAATTTTCAACCAAGTGACCATGAGTGAATTTTAAAATAATCCACGTTTGTAACATAATCATTAGGGTGGACCAAAAGATATTTTTTTTTCTGGGGCGTATCTCTATATTTTATTTGTACATGTGTAACAATACCATATAATTTCATTTCATGAAAAAAAATGCCAATTCACGAGCAGCGTATTTAATGCGGATACCGCAATTTAAAACTATGTATTTGTTTTTTTCGGTTTAAATTATCGTTGAACAAAAAACAACATAAAGGTAAATATCATCAAAATATAATAAGGAACAAATAAGGTCCTAAAATAATTAATAAGAAGAAAATCGATATTGACAAGGCTACAAAAAGCTGCGGAACGCGGAAAATTACAGATAATTCCAGTTTTATGATTTACCAACATTTTGTAAATTTTGTACAATTAATAACAAAAATACTTCAAACTAAACATGAATATAGATTATATACGACGTACGTATGCGTAGAGAAATGAAATAAATTCATGTAACTATAGATATTTAGGTGCTGAAAAAAAAACCAATCTTTGGGGGTCAACGAAAATCGGCTCCTTGTCATTCGGTAACTCTAAACGGATTTTAAACTTTATTAAGCTATAAAAAAGAAATTCCCCTTGGCTAAAACGAAAATTGAACCTTTTTCGTTTTTGGCGAAAACAAATTCCGTCCTTATAGAAATGTATTTACATTTTGTGACCCAATATAACCGTGGAATCGAATTTAAAAACGTATTATATACGAAGCGGATAGATAAAATTTGGCCCAATTACCGACCGCCTTTAAATATTATCACGCCAAAATGAATATCATAACTACATCGATGACGAGCAGTCGATGGTGACTATACTAATACATTTTATCATATTATAATAATGTTATAAATACTGCATGTCGACATGTCGCACGTGCACGCATAAGTGAAATGCAGTGTACCTATCCCGTCGGATTAATTTTAATTTACTTTTTCAATATTGTTTATTTATTTTAGCCTAATGGAGTAATGACTGCGAGAACAATATACAAGTACGACTGCGGATATTATACATTTAGAGTACCTAGGTATATGCGAGAAAATCTGTCATATTACATGGTGACGTTTATAATATTATTATTGTGATAATATTATATATTCCATATAATATACAGAACACCTCATTTTATACCTACACTGGATGATTAATTCAAGTTGACGTACAGGTACCCTTCATTGCGAATACAATTTTTGTTTTGTTCAACGTGAAATTTGCATGCATAACTATAGGTATAATAATAAATTATAGGTGTAAATACGCTACATATATAATATACACCAGTGGCGTATCCGGTAGCGCACGCAGGATTTTTTTTCGTGAGGGGTTTTGTTTATAATAATTTCCTAAAGAAGGTATAGCACATATTATAAGTGCAGTACTATCACTATTGTTACTGAATAAATGATTTTTGTTGGAATTAAATTGTAGTTTATTTTATGGTATTCTATAGATATTATGTTATTGAGTATAAAACTTGATTCAAAAAAACGTAGTGAAGGAAGACGTTTCGGAGAGAAGGTTTGACCCCCTAACTCCCACTGTGTGCGCGACTGAGCGTATCCAAGAGGCTGTTTGAGAAGTATGACACCCCCCTCCCACTTGATCCGAGATATATCATATTAGTACTAGTCTAAAGGTATATTATTTTTAATAAAATAATAAAGTAAAAACAAAATTATTAAAATGGTTAATACTTGTAAATAAATAAATAAAATAAATATATGAATAAAAAATATATGTATACAAATTAAATAAATAAATGAATCAATACGTCACCTAGAGTATTATGATAAGTGCATTATACGACCAGTTTCGAATTAAAAATTCATCATCAAGTGTATCACAGTCAAAATGTAAAACGCGACTCACAAGTCGCGTTTTACATTTTTTATTACCAGTAGCAAACTTATTATTTACAGCAGCTTACTATAATATAATTGGTTAGTATCAGCAAAAACCGTTATTAAGGTTTTTTTTTTCAAAACCGATTTTTGGCTCGATATTTTAGAGAAAAAATGTCCATGGAATATGAAAAAAATGCTAAAAATGCGCAGCACATGCTTGACGGGCTATTGCTGATTTTGATATTTTCATTACTGTAGTTATCGTTAAATAGTTAATCCTTGTAGAATTTTAATTAACTTATTCCAGGCCTTCCCAGAATCCCTGTGAGTTATTCGTGGAACCCCGGGATTCCGCGAAACACAGTTTAACAACACTGCTCTATAGTAACCTACATATACATTAATATTAAAATTAATCTAGTAAATGGCGTACTATACGAAAAAAAAATGACGGACATACTTCACACGTGGGTGCAGTCCCTATTATAAGTGGGAAGTTGGGAAGGTAGGATACAAACGGGAATTTAATGTATATCTGTAAGCAACGATAAACCACGAAAACACGATTCTGCGTGGAGTTCAGTTGATAGTGATGCTTTTTCAACAATATATATGTCATACTATAGTAAAAAATGATTACAACAATGTATGTTTCCATGAGAATAATGATTGTTTAAACAAGATTACAATAATAAAAACTTGATAACAATAAAAAATAAATAAAAACGGTTGCTAATAACAACCTTATTTTTAATCGTTTAATATTTTTTAACCTAAAGAACCAGGTTTTCCTCATTATCTCGAATATTAATGAGAATTTAAAAAAATGACCTCTCTAAAGTATCACCCAGAGAACATTTCCTTTCGCTTTTCAGAAAACGTGCTTTACTTGATAATCGGAGTAAGCTTTCTGGTAGAAAATGTTCACATAAAAAAAAAAATAAACATCCTTGCAAAACCAATACATTCTTCACTACACTCAGAATCTAAACTACAAAAACTTCTCGACAAAATGAAAAATCTCCAATGTCATGGATTTTTTTCTCCGACCCTTTTTCGAAAAACGAAAATGACATGTTGTGACCGAGGGGGGGGGGGCGAACCGCGTATAATAAAACGGCGGTGCCGCCGACGGGCACCTACGTCGATCGCGTGTCGTCGCCTCGTCCGGCGCGGCGGCGGCGGCGGCGGCGGTGTAACGTTTATTACGGCGGACAGATCGCATTTCATTATCGCCGGGCGGGCAGAGGGAAAACGATACGAATTTTTCGTCTCCTGTCCCCGTCGCGTCGTCGTCAGTCGGATTTAAAGAACGGCGAGGGCGCAGGTGGCCGCGTGGCGCTGACGTAGGGTGGAAGGGGGTAGGGATGGGGGGGGGGTTCGGCGAAAGGATAATGTGTTGCTCCGAACTGCCGTGCGCGCCGTATACAGGCGTACGACGTCTCGGGCGTCCGATCGGCCGCACCCCGCCGCGATTATATAGTGTCTGACGACGCGGGTGCGTGCCGGCCGAGAAAGTTACACTGCAGTACGCGCAGTGTGGCGGTGTGTGACGGCGGCGGCAGGGCAGTACACTAAATACGCGTCCACATACATACACACACACACACACACACACACACGCGAGCGCGCGCGCACGTGCCACGCCGTCCGCCAGCGCGAGTTGACAAATCCGTCCCGCGAGGGTACCCCGCGGCCCCGCGGCGGGTGATGGGGGTGGGGGGTGGTTGTGGTGCAGGTGGTGCTGTCATCGTTATTACCGTTATATGCGTATTATTATTAATATTATCGCGGAGGTAAAATGTTACCGTGCGAAAAGTTTTATTTTTACGCGTAGGTACCTACGTACCTGTATTGTGCATCGCCGTCGTCTATACAATGCGTCATATACTTTTGCTGCACTTTTATACGAAGCGACGGAATTGTTTTTTAATTAATTTTTTTTTTTACGCCGTTCCGTACCGGTACTTTTTGTTTTAATAACTCGACCGCTGTACACGGTACCCGACGTTACACGACATTGTTACGTTTTCGTCGTATTATTTAGAACGCTATCGCGGCCGCCGCGAAATTCCAAAACGCGGACTTTTCCGCGTTTTTCCCCCGGTTTACCGGAGTAAACAAAAATAATATGTACCGAAAAACATGTTCGGTACTTTGTATTTACAGTATTAAACGCGTAATAAAATAGTATACATATTAGGTTTGTTCCAAACACGGAATTTGGGACTGATCTGTGATCGATTTGCTGCGCATGTGCTAACGTGGACTGATCATAGATTCGGAGTTGAGTGGGAAAGTGTTGGAACGCGTTTCGGACCAGCTTCCGTGTAGTCTATGGTTGTAGAATATCGACAAAATATAAAACCTAATAAGAATGAATTTTGTGTCTTGTAACAAAACGTTTGTTAACGTGCGTTTTGAAATTTAAAAATTTATTTGAAACGGTTGTGATTGTCGAACGCAAATGATTGATAACATATAAACACAGAACAATAAATAAATGATAACAGGATTTCTGACTACTAGTCTCCATTCGAAACAGAAGATCGTTTTGACTGTCCGAAACCAATCCCAAAACTGGACTGATGTGTGTAAACAACCGTTTGACAGTTTGAGCTTGGTGTGTTGGAACAAACCTATAAGAATAACAATACGATATTTTTGATTTTTGAACAATACAAATTTATGAAAATACAGATCGAAGTTTGAAATTAAAATTTCGGAATTGCATACAAATTCTCCCCGAATATTCTGAGTTTTCACTGACTTTTCAGATTTTCCGGGTTTCCGAAGGCCGTGTCATCCGTGGCTATATTATATACTATACTATTGGGAAATGCACGCGTATGAGTTTAAAAACTATATAAGAGGGTACAATCTAAGGGTTGGTATTTGATTATTTTGTGCGCTCGGTCAACTTCGCGCCGCGTACATCCGACAATCCTTCACCCCCCGTGTTCGGGATTACGTAAGCCTAAAAAACTAACACAACCTCGTCGTCGCTTGATTAGCTAAAGGTACGAATCAACAACGGATTCGAATTATTTGTCCAGCGAATTATCTGTACGCGCGCTGTAAACGATCGGGGGTCAAATCACATCGATACTTGTTTTTTTAAACAAATTGTTACTAGTTCTAGTTGTAGTTTATTTTAAATTATTTTTGAATCGACGATAATGAATAATAAAAAGTTAATCGAAGCTGTAAGAGAGCACGTAATGCTATTTAGGATTTATTTCATATTCTAAATATATATTAGACAGCGCATACAAAGATGCTATTTGGAAAAGGATATGGAAACGCTCTTGATACAAGTTCTGTTTATTACTGAACTTGTAAATGAAATTTGTGAATCAAATCTAGTGCCAAACGTAGTGCACAAAATCCGGACGGCACAAACATGAACTGGACATATTTTGTGAATAAATGCCGTCGAACTGTACTATCACTGAACGGACGGTACGGACATGTGTGAATAGACCTTACACCAACAAAAACGTTAAAAAAACATAGACATACTTCACACGTGGGTTACTGTTGTAGGTGTGAAGGGAAAATTTAATGTATACCTATACGCAACGATTAACCATTGCTAACGAAAAACCATTCTGAGCGGAATTCGGTTAATAGTGTCGCTTTGTCAACAATATATATGTCACATTATGGTAAAATAATTACATTATGCATAATATATTTGCTTAACAATTGTATCTATTTTTCCTAGTTTTTACCATGTTTTTCTCCATTTTATGGGAAAATCAAAAAATTACCTCCTCGAAGTACCACCTCAGTCAGATTTCTTTTTAGAAAAAGTACAGATAAAAAAAAAATGAAATCTGGTACATTACATAATAATAATAATATATTGTTGTGGACTTTACATGCCAGTGTTATACAGGATCGGGAAGCCCGAGGTCAATATTAACAAGGGTTTCGGTTTGTTCTCAGGAAGGCTTATTTTGGGGGATTAATGAATGTTACCTCGACGCGGGTCAGGGTGCATCCCGAATAAGTGTTGGGGTTTTTTTTTTGCTAATCACTAACATACAAATTCAAAAAAGCGCGTACCGAAAAACAAACGAATAACGCGATAATGTTTGATATCGAAAACCGCGGTGCGCTCATGCCCGTCAGTATAGTGGGGCTGGAATACGTCCGAGATCCGTGCAACGCTCAAAATGATACGGGCTTCAACGCGAAAAGAGATTTCTGTACGATTGATCCCGACATTTTTAGAGGGGGTACAGCGGCGATACCCAAATTATGATTGTTTCTCGCGAACGCGATAGTGGTTATGGCCATCAGCGGCATTTTCGGCCGTTTCAGCAGCTGTCGCCGTCCTGCACGGTCATCGAGACTACGGCGCAGCGTACACACGCGTAGTAAAGTTCGGTCTCGCAATTTTCGTCGTTGCTGTCACACACGTGCCAAGTTCGGTTGAAGGTTGCGCGCCCGATAAGACTAATGCGGCACCTGACCGGGTTTCCCTACTGGGACCCGCCGCTGTCCCCGCGCGACCGCGCCGCGCGCTCGCGGCCGTATATACGTGCGTCGGGACGCCGTATATCCCCCGGGGGACGGCAACCGCTGCCGAGACGCTCGAGAGACAGCTGGTCCCCGACAGTTATACCGGAGAGCTACCTCTGCCTCACCCCCCCCCCCCCCCCCCCCCCCTCCCCCCTCGCCCTATATACACGTACGCCTTGCGCGCACGCACACACTCTTACAAAAACACACCGACAACTCCCTACTACACCGCGTCCTATATACGGTGTACCCCCCAGAGACCAGCTACAACGACGACGACGACGACGACGTTTCGTTCTCCTACTACTACTTGCGCGAGTACTATTACTACTACTACTAATACTACCACTGCTTCGTCTAATACAACCGCTATTACTGTGTATGGCTGTATAGTACTAACTATACTACGTCTGCTATTACACAATTGCGGTGCAGAAGAGAAGAGCGTGCGCGCGCTCGCAAGTCGGAACGGAAAAGTTTGTTACGGCCGCCGCCACCGCCGTCCGTCCGTCCGGTTCCGCATCTCGTCGTCGCGGAGAAGAACCGCCTCGTCAGGGAAAAACGACTGCCTCACCACCGCCACCGCCACCTCCGTTAATCGCACGGAGAGTAGTGCGCGCGTGTATATATATACACGTACACGAAGTGGTGTGGGTGGCGGCGGCGACGGCGGAACTGAAGGCAACTCGCGAGCGAACGTATACCGGCGGGAAAACCGAGCCGGCAACGCCGCGTCCCTAGAGACCTGACCGTGCCCGTTGAATTTCCCATTGCGTTACAATGGGAATTCATTTTGACCGATGTTACCGCCGCCGCCGCCGCCGCCGCTGCTGCCGCCGCCGCTGCTGCCGCCGCCGCTGCTTCCACACGACTCGCCGCGGACGGACATCCCAAAGTAATTATGATCTCGAATCGATTTTGTATTTATTCTACGCACCCAAATTATATACAAACGTTTTTATATTGTATTATAATAGACGAAATCCGAATACAGCAGTGTTTTATAGGTAATAATATTATGCGATACGCATAATTCTATTGTAATTAAATATATAAATATGTATAATACACATCGGTATAATTTTAGATTGCGTACACAGAGCTCGAAATGGCACATAACGGTAAAGTGCGGTATCCATAAGCGTGCGCGGATCCTATTTGCAGGGCTGACAACGATCAATAAACCTTAAGCAAAAATATATAAATATTAGGCGCAAAGAGCCCAAATATTTTGAATGGGGCATAAATCCCCACAATATTTATTTCGAACGCTTATTATTTACTCGATAAGAATTCGATTGGGGAGGGTGCTTAACTGAGTATTTATGGGGATAGCCCCATCCTCGAGCTCCATGTCAATCATCAAAATTAAGTTAAATGAACGAAAAATTTCACATCAAACATGACGCAAAAAATGTGGACGCTGATTCTTCTTACTAAAACCTCGATCGCTACCAAAATAATGAGTTCAAAATTATAATTCCTTCGTTGTAAATATAATAAGCAACATATTGAAATCTGATTCCATCAGGCTAAGTGAGGGATGGGAACAACTTCTTCACCGACGTATTTTGTACAAAATCATTTTCTTCGGCTGGATACTTTCTTGGGTTGTTTATAATTTGTAATCACGTGGTTGAGAAGTTAGATAGAGGGGGCATATTTTTATCGAAATTAGGAGCTAATATGTCACGAAATAATAATATGTGCATGAAAAAATATCACATTAGATTGAATTTTTAAAGACATTTTTAATAATGTGGCGCGGGATATATACGATTTTCATCCCTCGGTTCACTTCAATAATAGAAAACAACCATTAAACCATTATTTTTTAATAATTGTTTGCTACACAGTTGTATATCAGTTCATATATGTATGACACCTACACATAGAGTTTCATCATAATCGATGGGAAAATGACGGAATTACAAAAACCAGCAGTAATCGGGTAGACACAGACAGACGGGACGTGGAAATTATTGCACGTGTATGTATTTATTGTTCTAGACTTACGAGGCAAACGTACAATCTCATGTACAATCCGACGTCCGAACAGTTGTAATACAAAATAGTGATTTCGACAATGAAGTATTTAATTCGATTATTAATATGTAATCAACGTATTATTGCAATGTCTTGTGTGCGATGGTCGTTCTCCCAGACAAAAAAAAAACTCCGCTGTTTCACTGCGGTGTTTCTCGAGTTTTTCGTTTTCAAATCCTTCGGCAGAAATAACGTATCGTAAACACGCCATTCCGCAATAATAATAACATAATAAATACTTTACGCCGTTTACACACGGGTACCAAGCTAAACAATAATAATTGTATAACTGTATTGTCATTATTTAGAATCCATACAGAAAAACGCGTGGCTTGTGTAGCGGAACAGATGAGAAGTATTTGTAAGCAGAAGAGGAATTAACGTACACTAGCTATTACCCAATAATATTTTTACTACAACGGTCCGATAGCTCGATTATTCCGTTCTCGACAGCATTTTTTTTTTTTTTTTTTTTTTTTTTTTTTTATTTTCTAACACAAACCTACCGATAGTACAAACGTATTTTGATTAAAACGCGCATTGTTACATTTACAGTAATGTTTTTCTCGGGGGATTCCTCCGCGCGATAATAATAACAATACGTATTTTCCGCAAATACCGCTGTAAAATATCACGATGATATTACGGCGTTATTATTAACCGTCGGGCGTTTCGAAATGGTGGGAGGGGGGGGGAGCACATATGCATCCCCGTCCCCCGGAATTTCCGTCGGATTGTTTTTCGTCTTTTCGACGAAATTAATAAAACCCATTAGCGGCAGTACGATAATAACGTTGTAACAACAACAAACAACACACGCTTATAACGCGTAGTTTCACGCCGCGCCGCGCCCGCCGCACGTTCGCGACCCGTCGGATTTTCTTACGACGGACACGGACGCCCCGCTGCATTGTACCCGGCCGAACGTTAATCGAATACAGTGCGTTATCGGCCCGATATCACGACGACCGGCAACCGCACAGCGATAACATTATGCAGCGCCGTGTGCTATGGGGTATGGTGAAATCCGCGCTATGTGTAGCCACCGAATACTAATGACGTTCGTTTCGCATGTTATACATACGAGACTGTTTCACACACATTATACACATCAGGTAACGCCCGCACAGAAGTTTATAACACTGCAGTTGGCGTGCACATTGCACGGCGCGGCGGGCAGCGCGTGAGTACGATCTACGTGACGGACGGCGACGGTTCATCAATTTCATGATTCATAAAATTGACGGTGTACTTAGGTTTACGCGTCGCCGTCGTCGTCGTCGTCGTCGTTGTCGAATCATTATAACCGGTTATTTCTGTATAGCGAAACATAATAGACGGAAAGGCGGCAACAGTTGTCTTACTATACGTACAGAGAGAGAGAGAAAAAGAGACGATATATCTCGTAACGGTCTATTTTCCGTCGGTATTTGCTTGTCGGTGTACACAATAAAAATCGCCTGGCTTCTGCACGGAGAAAAAAAAAACACGGTAATCCGTATACCGCGTACAAGTATCCGAGCACAAAGTCTGCAGCGAACACGCGAACGCGTGCATTGGCAAATTATTGTTAAATCTTTACGCCCGCGAGTAAATTGTAAACAAAATGATCGTATACCGACCGCATAATAAATCGTAAATTATCGGAGACCGTTAAAAAAACATACCGTCAAAAAACAACAATCACACTTCGCAGACTGTGTGGCATAACGAGGGGGAGGGAAGGGGAGGGAGGGGCCGCTCTCCGGAATTCTATGGATTTCAAATTGTTTTGAATATTTTGAGTAATTGCGGCATCGCGTGTGCGTATAGCATTTGGATATTTTTAACGAACGGAAAAGGATGAACAATTTTTTTTTATATAATATCAAGTTAAAATATTCGGTAGGTACCCATTTAAATTTTAAAATATAAACTTGTTTTTGTTTGTTAATTTATTAGATATTATGTATGTCCCCTTAATACTATTTATACTCATGGGATAGATAGTATCTTATAAAACTTTTGTCTTTTTATTCTTATATCTTTTATTATTATTATAATTATTTTAGATACTGAGTGGAACGAGGAATGTATTGGTTTTACAATGACGTTTATTATTAATTTTTTTTTTTTTTTGTGTGAACGCTTTTTCTGCTAGAAAGCATACTCTGATTATCAAATATAGCACCTTTTCTGAAAGAAAATATTCCCTGGGTGGTACTTTAGAGAAGTAGTTTTTTGAGATGCTCATTAATATTCGAGATAATGAGGAAAACTTGGTTTTTTGGGTTAAAAAGATTGAAAGATTAAAAATAAAGTTGTCGTTGGCAACCGTTTTTATTTATTTTTTGTTATTATTAAGTTTTATTCTTTTTATTCTTTTTAAACAGTAATTGTTGTCATGGAAACGCTCATTATTGTAATCATTATACCATAATATGACATATATATATATATATTGTTGACAAACACTATCAACTGAACTTTGCTCAGAATCGTTTTTTCGTTAGCAATGGTTTGTCGTTGCTTACAGATATACATTAAATTCCCATCTGTATCCTACCTTCCCAATTTCCCACCTACAAAAATGATTGCACCTACGTGCGAAGTATATCCATCCGTTTTATTTTTTTTTTTTTTGCTCAATGATACTAATAAAAATATATGTTTTATTATTTTTAAAACCCAATTATCATAATGTATATAATAATTTTAATTTATAGCTTATTTAATCAAATTGATGTTAATTTTTCATTTTATGTAGTTTATGGCATTTTCTCAGTATTTTAACAATTTTAATATATTTTTGAAATATTATGTTAAATTATATATCCTATGATATTTTAAATACCGTATCTATAATATCACAAAAATAATCGTGATTTTTCAACGAGGCCCTCCTTGGCTAAACACAGTAAATGAAAATTATACATTATACTCGTAGTACAAGCAAAATATATCTACACCTAGCTATTATATAAAGGTAGTTTTCTTTAAATTATTTTACGAAAAAAAGAAGTTGTGTTTTTAATTATTTACTAATTATTTTTACTGAGATGAGAAAGTTTTTCAACATTTCAATAATTTTTTTTTTTCAATTTAACAAAACTAAAGTGAGGGGAAGGGTGGTATTGCTGAACAATTTTAATACTCATTAAAATGTATGTATAGTATTGTTTATACTTTAGTTGACTATATTGCAGACTGCTGTCAAATAATATAATATACAATAATTTATTATTCACAATAATTATGTGATGAGCTAGGAAATGTATACACAAAATACTGAAAACTGAGATGTCACTAAAAATCATTTGTATGAATATTGCATACCTCAATAAATATAGTAGATAGCCAAATAATACCTACCCACGCCGCCGCGAACTCCACTGTTATTTTTAGAAACATTATCGACCAATGACACCGACTTTTCCCACTAATCGAAACGACTTTTTATTTTTCATCTATGAGGTCCCCATGAAAAAAACCTCCGTGCCCCAGGGGGCTTTGGCGAATCAGACCGACACTGAATACACACGTCGACGAAACGGTCTAACGGTCATAATTTTATATAGAGAAAAATGTCAGCCCTCATCACGTGGCCTTTAAAGCAGAAAGGGATACATATGGCAAGCACGCCACTATGCAGTATATCAGGGTGCACTATACACACATTATATGGACGAAAGTCGCATGATTCGGGACAATAACGATAAACGCGCCGCGGTACGATTTTTATACGCGATGATTTCTCGGCGGAACGGAAGGCCGGGACATGCAACGGGGGCAGTAGGGTTACGGATACTTACGTCTGAGCGAACGAGGTGTAGCCTGTTTCCTCCTGGACATGGTGCGTGCGATACCGCGCGATTTACGCGGTCGGCCGCGAACACTTCGCGCCTTTTTTTCCGCTTCTTTTATTTTCCTTTTCTTATTTACGATCTTTTGGTACGGGGGTGAGTTTTTTGCTGGCCACCCGACACGAACAGCCGGGGCACCGGCCGCTGTCACGCGATCCACTTGCCCGTCGGACCGACGACGGTGGATCCGGTTAGACGTTTCCGCCACCACCGCACGCGCGTACGACGACGGCGTCCGCTCAGGAAACGGTCGCTACTCTATAAGCGGGCCGAACAACGAAAACAAATAAACACCTCCCCGTAACCCGCGCCGCACATAATATTTCGTTGTCGTTATCAATCGCGGCACACGGGTGTCATAAAACGCGCGTATATAATATTACGACCGGTTAATTGTTATTATTTTTTCTTTTTTAATTTTTATAAATCACTAGGTACTACCACGATATTACCGCACTGGTTAACAATATCGAAACGTAATTCCGCGGTTTGCTGTGGAAAAATTGTTATTCGTACGCGTCTCGACCGATGCACACAGGTATGCACACACTATAATTATTATTATAACATATTATACGTATGAATATTATTTCGCGCCAATTCTGGCCCGTGTACACACATAACGTTATTATTGTCGTTGCGATATTAAATTTACGGCGGTCACGCGCGCGCGGCCGGTCGAACGCCGGAAAATCGCGGATATTTCACAAAATACGCGCGCGCGACACGGTCGGTACAATAAACAATATTACAATAATCGCGTGTAATTGTATACAAAACGGTAACGCGGACGAGTTGTCGCCAGCCGCCGCGGTGTAGTGAAACGCGTGCGGACTCGCGCGCGATCCGCCGTGCGTACGTGTGCGTGCGTGTGTACAGGTATAGCGGCACTTCCGGTCCGGACAACGTCGGGCCAGTGACTTCCGCCACCGGCGAAAAGTTCGTCGTCGCCGCCGCCGCCGCCGCCGCCGCCGTTACTCTCGGCGCGCGGCCACGAGCAGACGGGCCGGCGCGCGCAACCCTTACGGCGCGTACGCGTAGCGGAACGTATACCGTGATCTATGACGGCGGCGGTTTACGAGTGCGGTTAATACGTATATAATTTATATTGTATTTAATACGTTTTTATAATATCATACGTCGCATTATAGAGAGTGTGTTGTACGGAAAGTTCCGCGAACTGCAGAATCGACAACGGCACTATAAGAGATGGCAAACGGAAACGCATAATACTTGCGCGCGTGCGGACGTTATTGTGATTGTAACGGGCAGAACGCAAAATGAAGTGGAAAATAGCACGATGGGAATGGTAAAAGCAGAAGTAAAATATTGGCCTAAGAACTAACACGGACAAAACTAAGTACGCGATGACGGCGACGAGAAAAATAGAAAATTCACCATGTATAACCATGTACATAGGCGACAAATAGAATAGAACAGATGCGGTAGAGTTTAAATATCTAGGGGTGACGTATTTAGACGAACAATATTCCATGCGTGACGAAATAAATATAAGACTATCCGCGGCAAATAGGTGTTACTTTTCACTAGCCATCGAGAATGTCGAAGAAAAGCTCCTACGATTTGAAAGGATACTATTAAGGAAAATACATGGCCCAATATATAATTCCGAAGAGCGGGAATGGGAAATAAGATCAAGTAATCAATAATTAAATGTGTTTTGTAAAAGGGAAAAATGAAAAATATGGTTAAGTTCGTTAGGAGCACAAAACTAGAATGGGTCATGTTTAGCGAGTGAACAGCAGATTAATAAAGAAAATCATAACCTGTTTTTCCTCAGTTTTTTTTCGGTTTTCACATTTGATGAGAAAACTCCTGAGAAAATAGAAATGGCCAACACAAGTATTCCGTGAACATTTCAGGTCTCTTCAAATATTTTCAACCAATGAACAACAAAAAAACCAAATAACGAAGCCGTTATTTCGGTAAATTCCGTTTTTCCCGGTTTTGTCAAGAAAACTAGGTGTTAAATATATAATATATACAACGATTTTCTACTCAGAAAATAATCGAAATTTGTTTTCGGAAAAAGTGCTATTCCTAAAATTTAGAACAGTATTTCTGGTAGAAAATAAAAATGGAAAACATTTAAAACAATAAAATTGTTAATGCCGTAAATTTGTCGGATTTATTTCACGTCTTTTTTTGGTTTTTTATCAATTATTAGGGAAACTCGATGGAACATCAAAACATGAATTTCTTATTCAACCGCTAAATTCAACAATCAACAAAGAAGGTTTCTTGTTGTTTTTTTATTTATACTACATTTCTGGTAGAAAACATATATTGTAAACCTAATCAAATGTACAAAATACGGTTTATATAATTGTAACTTTTAAATTAATATCTGTAATATAATTGATCAAAAAATAAGGTCGTCTTATAAAATACATTGTTTTCTATTAATTCTAATAGTTTTAAATTAAAATCGAACGATTGAAGAGAACATCGAACCTAGTGTGAAAAAACATTAAACGTTCCCCGTATACCTACAGGATATGATATTTTATATTTATACGTTTATTTAATTACATACTATAGCTGACCCGGCAATGCTTTGCTATTGCAAGAATAATAGTGTAAATAATAGTAATAGTAATAGTAATAATTTCCTTGGCCGACCATGGCGACGACCAGAATTATCACCCATGTCACCAAGTTAACCCATGAATAAACAAAAATAAATAAATGAACAAGTAAGTACATATTCGTACCAAAAATACCTACCTAAACACCCCTATTTTACCTCCTTAGGGGTTGAATTTTCAAAAATCCTTTCTTAGCGGATGTCTACGTCACAGTAGCTATTTGGAACCCTTGACTTAAAATTACTACCGCCGGATCCTATTTTATCGCTAAACGCTAATCAAGAGTCGGACGGGGAATCAAGGCGATGCCTCGGGTGCACTCGGTGCACCAAAGCGTGATCCCAGCCTCACTGCTCAATATGTCTCACCGTCTGCCTACGGTCTGGCCGCCATCCGGTAAGTCTACTCTGGCTGTATTAACCACTACCAAGCGTTACTCATAAGTCCGGTCGAAGCCTACCGCATGGCACCGACCGCAGCCACCGGGGTTCGGAAGCCACCCGACCTACACTTCGTAAATGTTAAGAGTCGGACATATCTCGACACCCAGCTACCGACGGAAATGAATGATCAGTATGCCCCTATACTGGTGGCAACCGGGAATTGTTAACGCAATATCCGTTGCCAGGGGTAAGCTGGAAAAACCGAAGACATCCCGCGATGTGACCCGAAGGCCGGAGTGCGAAAAGATCCCCGACTAACCATGCAGAAGGATGAGTCCGCGGTCTCATTACCTCGCCGGATACAACCCCGGTGGGTTCTAGCACTCGCTACTACACGAGAATTGACACATTTTTGCTTCACGCCGCGAATGGATCCACAGCGCTACTATAATATCTAGCGCCGCGAAAAGGTTCGTGCCGTTTAGACGTGCCGAGCAATGAAGCAGGTTACCCGGCTATCTATAAAACTATACTTGTTAGCCGTTGTTTCACTAGATCACAATAGGAATCTGTATGCCAAATGTTAGTCTGATCCGTCCAGTGGTTTGAGCAAGACACGATGAATCGGTCAGTCGGTCAGTGAGGCGTCAGGATATGTTATTTTATGTATAATTTATAAATTGCCAATATATGTAGGTATATCAAATATATTATTATCATTATTTATTATTAATATTATTTATAATCAATATTATTGTGTACATACAAGTAGCAATGTATACAATTTAAATTATCTGCTAACTTATTATTATATATATATATAATTCACTATTGCAGGTTTCAGCATTAATAAACAACTAGAGGAAAAACCCGAACGATTTTACAAAAAAATATAAAAAATTGTCTTTCTCGAAATAAATACTGTAACATTAGCTTCTAAGCTCCTGCAAAAGGTATTCCAATTATTTTAAGTGTATGATTAAAACTTAAAACAAAGACAATCACATTTACTTTGCCTGCACTTTTGGTGATGTAAAATTAGAAAACTTTTTTTTGTAACGGAAATTCAAAAGAACCCATTAGATGTGTAATGTTTATTATTAAAGTTCTTTTTTTCCCCTTTTTTTTTTTTGAACTCTCTGAAAAATATAAATTTGAAAAATAAATAAATAACCAATAGATACTTATTTTAAAAATATTATGCGACAATCGAAATATTATTAGAATATATAATTACTAATAAAATAATAAAGTAAAAAAAAAATTATTAAAATTATTAGTAACATACTCGTAAATAAATATGTAAATAAAAAATGTATAATAAAATTAAAAGTCAAAATGTAAAACGCAAAATTTTGATAGTTTCGGTAGTAGAGTATATTATTTAGAGATATGAGAAGCTATAAAGACACAGAATATTCAAGGGGGTAAACCACTAGTCAATTTTTTGTACACTAGACATCCTACTATGTATACTCCCATGTACTTCCAAGTACTCCCATGTACTTCCATGTACTTCCATGTACTTCCAGTTCATAACCTTTCCCAGTTCGATTTCCTTTTAGAAAAGTTGCTGCATTTAAAAATCAGAGCATGATTTCTGGTAGGAAAGTTGTCCAAAGATTAAAAACAAAAAAGGATGGACAAACTTTGCACGTGAGTGCAGACACTTTTGTAGGTGGGTAGTTAGGTAGAAAATAGACGAGAATTTAATGTACATCTGTAAGCAACGATAAAACATTGCTAACGAAAAAAACGATTCTGCGTAAAGTTCAGTTGATAGTGTTGCTTTGTCAATAATATATATATTATGTCATATTATGGTAAATTGAAACAATTGTTGTAATCATTTTACTGCACATTAATATGCGTCTCCATGAAAACAATAATTGTTTAAAAAAAGATTAAAATAATAAAAACTTAATAATAACAAAAAATAAATAAAACGATTGCCAATGACAACCTTATTTTTAATCTTTCAATCTTTTTTACCTAAA